CATGTTAAAGATGAACACAAAGAATTATAGATTGGAGAAAATATTATAAACTAAGCAACCAGTTAACACAAGAACACAAATTATAATATATTACAAAGCAAGTGATCAGCTTCTATCAAAATTTACGAACCTATTGATATCAGGAACTTGTTCCTGTCTACAACTAATTTTGCCAAGTCTTGAACACCAACGTCTGACTTCTGCATGATAAGATGCATAGTTATACATGTATTATCATTAAATAAGCCCAAAAAGTATTGAGTAAACACTCTACAGAAACCATGTAGAGGATTACATTTTTACTATCACAGAATATTAAATTCTCCAGGGACTTGTAAACATGTCCATCTACTTTCCATGGGGGTTAGCTTCCAAGGATTGATATTATCAGACCAGTAAGCACACAAACTCCCACCCATCCTGAAGAAAGCAAAATATTTGACTGAATTAATTTGTAATAAGTTTCTATGTTTAACAATATAATGCTTAAATTAGAATCTGCTTATTACCAGTCTTTAATAAAGAGAACAAATTATCTGCCTTAACTGAGAAAATTAAAGTTGAATCACCACACCAGTTCTGCAAAGCATCAAATGATTAAAATAAGCAGATAACAGAAGCTAACATCTCAGTAACCTGAACACGTGCATGCTCATTTGTTAGCTTTACTACATAAAGACCGTCCAAAGCATAAAATGTGGCACTGAGAAAAATAGCTGTCAACATGTAACATGTACCATTTTTCCCACACCAGGTGATCTAACAAAAATGATTTTGTCAACTGACGATACAAGAGCTTGTCCTATTTCTGCAAACCTACCAATGAAAATAGTAAAAGCAAATGTAATGATCCTTAACCAATTAAAGTTACTAAAATGCAGTGAATAAAACAAAAATCAGAATGTCTGTAACACACACCCTGTTATCATAATGTAGTACACTCCTTGTATAATATATTAATAGATTTCAAAAGTATAAACTGAAGGTAATAATTACTAGAGTAAAATTTTAAAGGTTACTTCTAAACAGACATTGTTATCAAAATCATAAGTTGAGATTGTTTATCCTAGTCTTATAGAAAGTCTAAGATACATAAAAAGTGAAAGCTTTCATTTTCTCTAATAACCCAAGAGAGGTGTTTACATCAAGAAGTTACCTGGCGAATCGATTGTTGATGACGTCGAGATCGAGTTATACGCTAGATAGCTTCAAAAGAGGACTTTGGACAGAGTCATGTTCAAAGCATATGTTGAGCATATATGTCCATCTATACGTCTCTCTAGAATAAACTAAACCGAACTAGAATGAGTCTAATTAGACAGAACCGAAATTGATCACTATTTAGTTACATTGTATTTATTAATCAATAAACGGATTGAATGTGTAGAATTAACTATCCAAATTAAACAAGCACAATGAATCTAGCCAGACCTCGTATAACTAGATTATGATAATTCGTTACCTGATGCTTGGTAAGCTTCCTCCTAATGGTGTGAGTTTTCTTGGGCCTGAGATCCATGATAATTCGTTACCTGATGCTTGGTAAGCTTCCTCCTAATGGTGTGAGTTTTCTTGGGCCTGAGATCCAAAGGCAAGAACTTTTCTTCTTGTAAGCAGCTTCCTCCTAATGGTGTGAGTTTTCTTGGGCCTGAGATCCAAAGGCAAGAACTTTTCTTCTTGTAAGCATTCCTCAGCGCCGTCTTCTGCTTCTGCAAGATCACCGTCAGCACCTGCACTATCCCGAGCCTCACCACCTTGCTGCCATCAAATACATGAGGGGGAATCTCAAAAAATCTAAAAAAGTTAGAAGCTAAGGAATTGGTACGCCAATTAATATTTGCAACTTCTACTCGGCAGTTGAAACATAGGTATATCAACAAACACTTAGTAGGCAAAACAAACATGCAAAGGAAAATCCTCTCATTCATCCTCTATCTCAAGCACATAATTAGTGGAGGAAGAGAAAGCCTATCAGCCCATCACCCAACTCCTCTCATTCATCCTCTATCTCAAGCACATGCAAAGGAAAATCTATCAACCCCTATTCAACTCTAGTAACACCAAAAAACCTTACCTCGGTCAAAGGCAACTTAAGCTCCACCAACGACCGCCTTCTCGATCATAGAATCCCCAGCAACGCTCCTGAACTTTTGCAATTTTATAGGCTTGTGTTGTTGGAAACACAATGAGGGCGACATCAACAATCAGAACGCGATGTCTGGGTGCATAGTAGTTGATGGAAATGAACTTTAATGGCCAAACAGTAAATGGGAACCCTAAATATACCTCGTCGCCGGCCGCCCCCGGCTCACAGCGAGCCCTAATATCCCCCGCTCCGATCTTCGTTTGCTGCCTTGGATGGGGGAGTCACATGTTGCACCTCCGTCTATGTCGGGCCTCCAGGCGCCGTACGTGAAGGCCGTGACGAGCTGGTGGCATCTGAAACACTCGGCGAGGGCAGAGGGATCAGATTTTCGGCGTACTCGGATGGCATCGACGGTGGCTATGCCGATGCCGCCATCGAGGAGGACAAATTAGAGGGGGTAGGAGAGGAAGGCGTGGACGAGGAGGATGCAAGAGATATTTTGAAAGGGAGGGTTTTGGGAAATTTGGAGCGTGTTTCAGGAAAACAGAAGGGGAAAAAATTTTAGAAGCGGGGTTTGGAAAAATTAAGAGCCCGCTCAAACAAATTTAGAGGATCAATGTTATACTGGAATTGACAGAGTTTTAGCAACGCAGATGAATGAAAAAGCATCGTAAAAAATAGATCATTTAGCCACGCAAACGCAAAGCAGGGACGTTGGGAAAAAGAGACCTTTAGCGACGCTAACCTAACACGTCATGATAAATGCACATTATTAGCGACACCAACCTTAAAACGTCACTAAAATTATATATTTTTACCAAAGAAAATGAAAAACGTCGTGAAATCCGTACACTTTTACCGACGCTAATTTAAAACGTCGTAAATAATATACACTTTTAGCGACGCTAATTATAAACGTGGGGAAAATATATGTTTTGCCGACGCTAACTAAAATCGTCGGGAAAAACATAATTTTTAGCGACGTATTTAACCCTCATTGGTTTGTCGGTTTGTGCCGAGCTGAGCTAAGGGACCTATAAGCAATTTTATATGCCTACAGTCGCAAATAATATATACTTTTAGCGACGCTAATTATAAACGTGGGGAAAAATATATGTTTTGCCGACGCTAACTAAAATCGTCGGGAAAAACATAATTTTTAGCGACGTATTTAACCATGCGTCGGGAATAAGCGTTGGGAAAAGTACAATTTGTTGTAGTGATGGCTCAATGGGTGTCTCATCTTGCATGACAGCCTCTGATGCCTTGATGATGTTGGGGCGCTCGAGGGTATGAGTGTATACAGGCCCTGGAACTATATTCTGAACTGGTTGATACGAGTCTGGATAGAGCATCCGCCCAAGAGGTTAGGGCGCGGGGGATTTGGACAATTCTGAAGTCGACGAAGTTGGCTAATAGCTCTTTAGCCGCTTTCAAATATAGGACCACTCTAGAATCTTTGGCCGCATACTCTCCATTCATCTGCTGGACAGCAAGTTGGGAATCGGCCAATATGTAAAGGCGTTCGGCTTTTACTGCTAAGGTGGCTCGAAGACCCGCCAGAAGTCCTTCATATTTTGCCTCATTGTTAGAGAGAGTATTCTACGCACAATAGGATTATGAATATCTTATCTGTAAAATAAGATATTATCCACCCACTTATTTTGATATCGATCTCATAACCATTATTAAGTCCGTGACTTTTGATCTTTATGAATTTTAGAATACATCGACCAAGAAAAACTTTTGATTAAAATAAGTAGGGTGCATGGATTTTTTTTAATTCGGCATATTATGCAATTATAAAGGTAAATATAACCAAGCTAGCTAGTTAACCTATCAGTATTAACTGCTCTCCGGAACATATAGTTTATGTTTCAAAATCTTTATATATAATTCAATATAAAAACAACATAATTAATTAAACTCTCTCATTCTTTAATTGGATGAATGTGAGGTAAACATTAGGTAGTGCTTGACTTAACAAGCCACATATTCGCCTGGGCGTCGAGACAATCATCTACTATAGAATCACAAGCTGCAGGAATTAATGCGACAGGGATGTCACTTGAAAATTTTGAGAGAATGACATGTTATTTTTGTTATTATATACTGAGTTATAATTTAGAGTCTGAAAATACAAAGTATTTGGTGATGAAGTAGATAGAAGCTGATGAACGCATCTCTATCATATCTGGAGCCTCCTTTTGCCTTCAAATCTAGTAGGTAATGCCTCCGCAAGAGCCACACATATTAGAGTCTTTGTGTTTAAGTTATTTTATACTCAAAAGAAAGACGAATTCCCCCTCTTGTTTTTGTCAATTTGTTGCAAGCGCCTAGAAAGTGCATCCCATGATTAAAACCCCATTAAAAAGTAGGTTGTTTAAAAGTAACGGAGAGAGACCAAGCAAGGTTAGCGTACTTTGGTGGGCCTTTTTTATCAGGGATTTTTCACATATAGGCCCCGCAAAAGAAGTTTCCGATAACTGAAAACCATATAATTCATGTTTTGTTAGTTCTTCATTCACCATCTATGTAGTTCCTCACTAGCTAGCCATCTAGAAGGGTTATAATATTAATTAGCTCCTGAACTTTGTCTTTTTCACTTAAGCACCTTGATAAAAACCTACAAAAATTAGAGTTCACAGTGTTAATTTAGCGGTTATGTGAGACATTCAAATACTAATATTTAGGAGGCTTAATATGCTGAAACCCCTTTTTAATATTATCATTTCAGATGGAAAAGCCCAAATTGCGCCAATTACACACCAAAATTGTCAACAATAAACAAGTGGGTCCCACCTTTATGGCTTCCATGGGAAGTGCCTTCAGCTGCACGGATGTTAGGCTCTATATATTCTGGTCTCATTTTTCTCCTCTCCTCCCTTATTTCTTAACACCCTCTCTTTCTCTCTCCTCCCTCTCTCTCTCTCTCTCTCTCTCTCTCTCCCCTCTTCCAATGGCAGAATTCACAAGTCAAATTCCAAAGGAAGAAGAAGAGTACTTGGTCTTGCCCCCTGGCTTCCGATTTCACCCAACAGATGAAGAGATCATAACCAACTATCTCTCAGAGAAGATTGCAGACAAAAGTTTCAGCGCTCTAGCCTTGGGAGAGGTGGACCTCAACAAGTGTGAGCCATGGGACCTCCCAAGTAATCATCCTTAAAAGCCTGACTAGTTATCTCCTTATTAATCTATATGAATTTCATCTTATTAAATTTAAATACGGCCAGCAGTGTGTCTACTAATCTAATAATTAATTTTTAATTTGATATGTAGACCACTAAATATTTTCTGAAAAGAGTATTTAGACTATGATTAATAAAACTCATAGTACATTTAATTAATTATCAATATCTTTTTTATCGATCTAATTTGATCATATAATAATTTTGATTAGTGCTAATTATACTGTGATAGGTAATAAATTTTCTAAACTATGAACATATTAAGTTTTAATTGAAATTCAAAGAAAACTTCCGATATACTTTATAAAATGGGATTAGTAGTGTATATGGTTAGTATTGATCATTTATAACATTTTATGCAGATAAGGCTAAGATGGGAGAGAAGGAATGGTACTTCTTCACTCAAAAGGAGAAGAGGTACCCAACAGGCATGAGAACCAACAGAGCCACGGAATCTGGATACTGGAAAGCGACGGGAAAAGATAAAGAAATATACAAAAGCAAGGGCTCTGTTCTAGTCGGAATGAAGAAAACCCTAGTTTTCTACAGAGGACGAGCCCCTAAAGGCGAGAAGACTAACTGGGTCATGCATGAGTTCAGGCTCGAAGGCAACCACTCTCACCTCTACAATCTTTCCACAGCCTCCAAGGTACCCACTTAGTCAATTTATAAAATTCTAATAGTTAGTAACATATTAGATAGCTAACTTTATAGTTATACTTTTTTTGCAGGAGGATTGGGTTGTGGTTAGGGTTTTGCACAAGAATGAGGCAGCCAAGAAGAATCCTTCGACTGTGCAAGAGAGCGCGTGCTTTGCTCATCCTTGCACATCTAGTTTGAGCTACTTGCAACAGGATGAAGCGATGGAGCGAGCTACGGCACCTGTGAATGCTAATGCTCGTCACAATTCTTCATCAATGTCTCCTTTTATTGGGCAGAGAAAAATAGAGCAGTTCTCGAGCTCCATGGCTACTACTTCGCATGATACTGGACTGAGCAATGACTGGAATGCTGAGATCTCATCTTACGATTATGGGCTTTCTTCTGGTCCGTTTTTTGATTTGGAGAACATTTGGAATTACAAGGGAATTTAGACCTCGTTTGTGTTTTTTCATGGTGGAAAGCAATAAGTTTTTGCTAATGAGTGGAATTATTTTTGGTTGGGTGTCAGGAATTATATATATTTCATAGAGGAAAGCAGCAAGTCATGAGTGGAAATTTCTTACAATTTAGAATGCTACAATAATGTTGCCTTAAAGCCTGTATTAAATATCTTGATTTGTGCTGATATCCTAATGACTATATGATTTAGTCATGATGTGATGTTGAGCTAATATTTTGACGGAATGTTGCGTATTCCTTTATTGTATTCTTTTATGTCCACTTGGATACACTTTTTTTTTCTTTTAATTAGGACAGCATATATTATAATGAATTAGCTCTTATCTGATCTGTACTGGTTCGAAAATCCTTATGTAGCTGTTACTACATCTACCAGAATTTTCAATATTTTTTGGGATCATGCATGGGTTCATTTTTCTTTTTCTTTTTTTGGTAAATGAAAAAAAATTATTCATCACCAATATGAAATTTGTATGTACATCAAGAATCTCATCACATTTATGAGATATAAAAAAAAATTGTAACTAAAGCTCATAAGAAAACCTCATATATACAGAGCTTAACAAGTATAAAACTAATCTAACATCAAGTAAAACATAATGCATTTTTTTTGGTCAATGAAATAAAATTTTATTCATCACCTAATTTTTGAAATAAGAGTACAACAAGAAACCAGAAACTGATCTGGCAAACAAAAACTGTAACCTCACTTACAGGTTACAATTTTCCTATTTCTTCTCTCAAGTATTCAGGAACATCTTCATTAAGAACTTTTAAGAGTAATGAAATCTTCACTTCTTTGATAAGTTGATCAGGGCTGCGGGCTTTTTGTTGAAAAAATCCTCAAATTTCTCTCCTTCCATATTCAGTACACAACCCCAGATAATACCATTCTTTTTAGCTTCTTCATGAATCCAAAACCCCTCAAGTTGTTGTTATACCATCCCATTACATGATCCCAGCTGCAAGATCTCTAAGAATACTTTAGCCATGCCATCAGATTATTCCATACATAGGAAGAAAATCGACATTAAAAGAACAGGTGGTTTCTAGATTCTAGATATGACTGACAGAATCAGGACAAAGCACACACTGGTTGATATCCAACATACCCATGCGACATAACCTGTCCTTAGTCAGAAGCCTCGATAGAACAGCAAGCCATAGGATTATCGAATGCTTGAGATAATGCAAACCACCCCACACTGTTTTCACCCAGGGCACAGTTGCCGAAGGTTGAGAGATAGGATTATAAACAGATAAAATTTTCATTCTCCCATTATTGTGACAGTTAGCAATGATTCTATGTAGATTATTCACATTCCCAAACCTTCTCAATATCAAATCCCTCACCTTTAGGATTTGTCTCCACATCCATGAATCACTTCTCTTCGGTTGAACTTGCCAAATTTCCTGTTGCTTTAATTAATTTCCATGCACCCATTTTATCCACAAGAGGTCTTTTTTAGAGTGTATCATCCATAACATCTTGATTGTTGTAGCATAGTTCCATAATTTGGAGGAGAATAGCCCCAGACCTCCTAGCTTCTTATCCTTACAGACTTCTGTCCAGGAGACCAGATGGATTTTGCTTCCCCATAAGAAAGCAGAGCAAAGCATGTCAATTTTTTCCAGCACCTTCATCGGCAAGATATAGTTACTTGTCCAGTAAGTTTGAATACCCAAGATAACAGTTTTTATAAGTTGAATTCTCCCTGCATAAGATAGGTTCTTCCTACTTTGCCAGTCTTGAAGTTTATCTGAAATTTTTGAGATCAATGATGAACAATCCAGGTAAGAGAGCCTTTTTGAGACCAATGGCACTCCTAAGTATCTCATATGTAAAGAACCCTCTGGAAAATTTAGATATGAGCATATCAGATCTTTAGAAATATCATCAATTCCACTCAAGAGTACAGAGCTTTTTCAAGAATTGGCCTCCAATCCAGATCAGGGCTGCGGGCTTTTTGTTGAAAAAATCCTCAAATTTCTCTCCTTCCATATTCAGTACACAACCCCAGATAATACCATTCTTTTTAGCTTCTTCATGAATCCAAAACCCCTCAAGTTGTTGTTATACCATCCCATTACATGATCCCAGCTGCAAGATCTCTAAGAATACTTTAGCCATGCCATCAGATTATTCCATACATAGGAAGAAAATCGACATTAAAAGAACAGGTGGTTTCTAGATTCTAGATATGACTGACAGAATCAGGACAAAGCACACACTGGTTGATATCCAACATACCCATGCGACATAACCTGTCCTTAGTCAGAAGCCTCGATAGAACAGCAAGCCATAGGATTATCGAATGCTTGAGATAATGCAAACCACCCCACACTGTTTTCACCCAGGGCACAGTTGCCGAAGGTTGAGAGATAGGATTATAAACAGATAAAATTTTCATTCTCCCATTATTGTGACAGTTAGCAATGATTCTATGTAGATTATTCACATTCCCAAACCTTCTCAATATCAAATCCCTCACCTTTAGGATTTGTCTCCACATCCATGAATCACTTCTCTTCGGTTGAACTTGCCAAATTTCCTGTTGCTTTAATTAATTTCCATGCACCCATTTTATCCACAAGAGGTCTTTTTTAGAGTGTATCATCCATAACATCTTGATTGTTGCAGCATAATTCCACATTTTGGAGGAGAATAGACCCAATCCTCCTAACTTTTTATCCTTGCAAACCTCTATCCAGGAAAAAAAGATGTATTTTGCTTCCCCACAAGAAAGCAGAGCAAAGCATATCAATTTTTTCCAACAACTTAATCGACAGGATATAGTTACTTGTCCAATATATTTGAATTCCCAAGATAACAGTCTTTATAAGTTGAATTCTCCCAGCATAAGATAAGTTCTTCCCAGCATAAGATAAGTTCTTGCCAGTTTTGAAGTTGATCCGAAATTTTTGAGATCAATGATGAACAGTCCAAGTAAGAGAGTCTTTTAGAGACCAAGGGCATTCCTAAATATCTCATAGGTAAAGAACCATCTGGGAAATTTAAATATGAGTATATTTGTGCTTTTGAATTGTCTTCAATCCCACTCAAGAGGACAAAACTTTTGCAAGAATTAGCCTCCAATCCAGAAACTCTACAAAACTCCTGAAGGCAGTTATTTATTTTGACTATAGAATCCATGTCAGCTCTACAAAAGAGTAGTAGATCATCAGCGAAAATCAAGTGAGTAATACCCATCTTAGCACATTTTGGATGGTATTTAAACAGACTGTCTGTGCTGAGGAATTTGAGCTTTCTGGATAGATACTACATACCAAGCACAAACAAATAAGGAGACAATGGATCTCCTTGCCTCAATCCTCTAGCCCCCTCAAAGTAACCATGTAATGAACCATTAAGTGACAAAGAGAACTTAGGAGTAGAGATACATTCCATCACCCATGTAACCATATTATCAGGGAAACCCAAACCTGTCAGTATAGCCTTAATAAAACTCCAATTTATAGTGTCAAATGCCTTTCTCAAATCAATGTTAAGGACAGCTCTTGGAGAGACATTCTTCCTGCCATAGTGTTTTAAGAGTTCATGTGCTTGGAGAATATTGTTAGAAATCAGCCTACCCTTAACAAATGCACTCTTTGCATCATCAATCAGATAACCAATGATTTTAGATATTACTTTGTAAACACAGTTGCAGCCAGTGATAGGTCTATAGTTAGAGGGAGATCTTGGATTAAGAATTTTAGGTACTAATGTGATGGAGGTTGGGTTGAAGGTGCCAATGAGCTTACCAGTATAAAAGAACTCTTCCACTGCATTACACATCTCATCTCCAATAACATTCCAGACAGTTTTGAAGAATGATGCACTAAATCCATCAGGACCAGGGCTTTTATCGTTAGATATAGTGAAAACAGCTAGTTTTATTTCCTCCCTTATGACAAGAGAGCCTAGAAATTCTCTTTGACTTGATGAGAGTATAGGTCCATTGGTTATAGTAATAAGATCAGGCTCAGAAACATTCCCATAAACTCCCAATAGACTCTTGTAGTAGTTAATAAGCTCAGTGATGATTGTGTCCATATCAGATATTCTATTTCCATCCTCAGTATACAAGTACAACACCCTATTTTGATGCCTTCTAGCTTTCATGGTTGAGTGGAAGAAATGAGAGGATTTGTCTCCTTGAATAGCCCATTTAATGTTTGTTTTCTGCCTATAAAATGATTCTTCACAATGAAGCAAAGAGGTGTACTTCTTTAAGTATTCTTTCTCCTTGGAAATAAGATGAGAGTTGAATAGATCAGTGCTCATCCTATTCTGAATATCAGATAGCTCCTGTTTGGCTCTTAATACCTGTTCACTAATATTCATGAAATGTCTTCTATTTAATTCTTTGAGAGCAGGTTTGAGCATTTTCAGCTTGGAAGCTAGCTTGAACATATAATAACCTTGCACATCCTGCTGCCAAATAGATCTGACTATAGAGAGGAACTCAGTGTGCTTAGTCTACATCTTGAAAAACTTGAATGGCTTTTTCCCCTAAAATCATCATCTACAACTGTAAGGAGAGCTGGAGAATGATCAGAACAAGCTGGCTGCAAAAAATCTACTTGACTTGATGTATAACGTAGAATCCAAAAATCATTGACCAACACTCTGTCTAATCTGCTCCATACTCTAGTATCAGCCTCTTGCTTATTATTTCATGTGTAGAAGCACCCAGTAGTCTTAATATGCACCAGTTGATTAGAGGAAATAAAGTGCTGGAAATCTTCAGTGTCAGCTCCTGAAATTGGTGCACCCCCTAACTTTTCATCACTATTAAGAATGGCATTAAGATCTCCCCCAACTAACTAGGGGCAATCAACTGATGGCTTGAAGACTTGAAGATCCTGCCATAGTACTTTCCTTCCATCTCTTTAGTTTAGAGCATAAACCACAGTTATTAAGCAAGAAAACCTGCCATCTCTTGTATTGACTGAGCATGTCACATATTGCATTGAAGCTTTGACACACTTCATATTTAGAATATCACTATTCCAGAGAAGCCAAATCCTCCCATTTCCTGCTTCTTAAGTATTAGAAATCCATTCCCAAATTTTTACAATTTTTTGAGCTATTTTAGCCATTTTTCCTGCAGAAAGCTTTGTTTCCAATAGAGCTATAAAAGGTAACTTATAATCTTGAATGAATTGATTCACAATTAAGTGTTTAGGGGACTTATTAAAGCCCCTAATATTCCAAATAGCAAAGTACATTATTGCCCCCCTA